TTTAAAGTAGATAGACTAAAATAGTATTTAAACCAAAAATATGTAATAGCATTTTGGTAAATAAAAATTGGTTTATTTACAAGAACCCATTAAGCATCCATTCAAATTTTCAAGCTCATCTCTATTCTATTCCCTCTCGCTTTTTTGAGTTCTCCCCTTTCTCTTTTMTTTTTGCTGCATGAAGCTTTTTTGGAGTTTTCCCATTTTCTTCGACTTTCAAAACTTTAGCCATTGCTCCACTTATTCATTTTTCTCCCTTCAGTCACCATCCCTCGCTGCTGCACAACTTACTGTGTTTTGCAGAGATGGAGTTTGTGAGCCCTGAAGGACTTCGCTTTGATGGTCGCCGTCCCATGGAAGTATTTCTCATTCTCATTCTCTTGGTTCAATTTTTTTTACTCTGCACTTGTGCCCCGTTCAATTTTTCACTCTTTTGTTTAATTTTAGATGAGGCAAATTCGAGSAGAAATTGGCGCTGTTTCTAAAGCAGACGGGTACTTGCTTTCACTTCTCTTAACCTTTGTGAGTCTTCTTGATTAACTGAAAATCATCCATTTGTTTTATAGTTCTGCTGTTTTTGAGATGGGTAATACCAAAGTTATTGCTGCTGTTTACGGTCCAAGAGAGGTACAAGATTTCAACAATTATTGTATTTACAAACYTATTGAGCTGTTTATTTTTACAAAATCCATTTGGGTATTTAATTCTGAGGCTTATGATGTATGGTTGTGAATGAATGCTWTTGTTGACTGTGTAGGTTCAGAATAGGAGTCAACAGTTGAGTGACCAAGCRCTGGTTATACTTTTTTCTGGATAATCTTATTTTGAAGTTTGAGTTCTTAATGTGAATTTGGTAACTCAGTGCTTGATTCTGTGATCGTTTCTCTTTTAGGTGCGCTGTGAGTACACTATGGCTAATTTCAGTACTGGAGATCGCATGAGAAAACCTAAGGGTGACAGGTTATTTGACTGTTAATCTTTTGAAAGTTCTGGTTCTGTTGTAGTTGTTTCCATGGAATAGGAGCATGATGAATGGTGATATCTTCGGAAGAATAAAATATATCAAAATAAATTGTGGAAAAAAAAAGATATCTTCGGAAGAATATGGTTAGGGTAAAACTAATAGTGCTGGAATATCTACTTCAACATTACTTGGGTGTTACCAAATGGAATGATTTAAAAACTGAAACTATGTTAGAGCTGGATTTATATCTATTATATTGTATGTTTATTAAGCTACGGCATTTGTCACATTCAGGCGATCCACAGAGATATCTTTAGTTATTCGCCAAACGATGGAGGAATGCATTTTAACACATTTAATGCCTCGGTCTCAGGTTTTTTACACATATTAATAGCTGCTCCTCTATGATTTTGACCTATATCTTTCCACATTCTTAGTTTTTATGTGCAGATAGATATATTTCTCCAAGTTCTTCAAGCAGATGGAGGTACACTATCTTTCTTTCTTCCATCTTTCTTTCTTTAGCTAAGGACAGTTGCAAGGTTTTACACATAGGGCCGGCTGCTTTTTTTATCTTGCTTGCCGCAATTAATGATTAAGTCTATTAGATTTATTCTTCATTATCATTACTTATATTTCAGACATTYTAAGTTCATATTCTCTTTTTTTGCCATCTTCTTGTATATTTGTATCTTCTTCAGACATTCCTCGTACTTTTATTTTCTTTTACAAAATAGAAGAATGTAGAATTTTTTCCATACTCTTCCCCTGCTATCTCATTCTTTTTGCCTCCTTTTCGTCAAAAAGCTTGRAGCGTGCAGTCATATTTTTGTTCATTACAAACCATACGATTTAAATTTAACAACATAACCATCTCTCCATTTCTCATGCTACAATCTTTTTAGGTATTTAAAAATGTGGCCAATGCTCTAGGGGAATATGGTCAAAAGCATGTTATAGGAAACTTGGTTTAAAAGTACATAGTTTTCAAAGGCTCAACTAGAAATATAAATAAATTTTGAGATATGAGCAATTTTAAACYTCTATTTTTAGTTTAATCATGTTGATGCCTTATCTCATGTTTGTGTATTTCTTCTTTAATCATAAGAGAGTTCTTGTTTCTTCTGTATAGCTTCTCAAAGAATACATTTATTTCTTATGGCGTAGCTTATAAGCTGCCAATCAGTGTGTTTAAGCATTGATAATGTTCTGTCTTTAAGTGGTAGTGATTTCTGAGAGGTCATTCATTAGTAGTTTACTTTTCTTCCATGAACAATTCAACTTCAGACATATTCTAAATTTTTTTTTGGTCTGTAGGCACTAGATCAGCATGTATCAACGCTGCAACTTTGGCGCTTGCTGACGCTGGAATTCCCATGCGTGATATCGTTACTTCTTGCAGTGCTGGATACCTTAATAGCACTCCTCTACTAGGTAATTTATACTTCATCTTTCCTCATTCAATCGCGTTCAAAAAATGCAACCCAACATTTGGATGAATTAGATGTCCGCATATGTTCATATAACTCGTGTTTTCCTTCGTTCATATAACTCGTGTTTTCCTTCTTTCTTTCTCTTCTGTGACCTTTTTTTTTCTTTTAACGTTGCATGGAAAATTAGAAGAACTAATATGAATAGGAATATGAAATGGGCAGATTTGAATTACGTCGAGGATAGTGCTGGTGGCCCTGATGTCACTGTAGGCTTTCTACCTAAGTTGGATAAAGTCACTCTTCTTCAGGTTCATTAATTTCCTACTTTTTCTCTATTTTTCCTGCTTCCAATTTTATATTGCATATTGTAATTTGTAAACCTAAACTGTTATTCTGCAATTAATGTTCCAATTTCGTGGATTGTTAGACATTTCAGCTCATTTTCACATGATCCATTTGATGTAGATGGATGCTAAATTACCCATTGATATATTTGAGAATGTCATGCAACTAGCGATCGAGGGCTGCAAAGCCGTAGCAAGTTACATCCGAGAAGTAAGGACTCGACGACTTCTGATTTCTTTTTCGTTTTAGCTGTACAACAAGAAGCCTTTATTATTGAACCATTTCCATTGTAACAACCTACTTTTTTTTTTTTTTTTATAAAACCATACTGTTATGTGTGCTGCAGGTTATGTTGGAGAATACGAAGAAACTCGAATATCAACGTGGTGCGTAGTCGGGAACAATATTGAGCATTCTTACAAGCAAGGATACTTCACCAATGGATTGGAAATGATCTTTTTAGAAAAGATTAGTAAGAAACTGATCGCATGTGAAATTTGTAGTTTTAATTGTTTTAAAGAAAATATTAGAAAATAATAAATTAGTTTAATGACAATTTAATTAGTTTTTTAAAAGTAGAAAGGGGTCAGTCTTAATATTTTTTCTTATTTACATTATCTTTTAAAAATTAATTTTACATTATATGAAGAAACTTTTCATACAAAATTTTAATTCAACACATTATGTTATATGAATGTTAAACTAGAAGGTATATTTCTTTTGTGATTCATATTATATACAAGAATCACAAAATATACAATGTTATGTTAATTTCATGTTTTTATTTGTTACATTTTAATTATATGAGGACTTTACACCTTTTTTAAGAAATTACACTTCATCTATTGTAATATAATTATAATTTAATGTCAATTCAATTAATTATAAAATAAATTATTTAAATATAATAATATCATTAAAAAGACAAAAAAATAATTTTCACTTTAAAACTTTGATCTCTTACATCCTATACTTTATATTTGGATTATTTATGTCTATGATTGGATTGAAAAAGATAAAATTACAATATACAAATTACGATTCTAAATTTACAACATTATTATATTCTTCATTTTTGGAGGAAAAAAATGAACAAACAAATCAAGAATAAAAATAAAACAGAAAAACAGTACAAATGAGTTGTTATTTTTTTTTAATTTTTAATGCTAGCCACAAGTTAATCCACGATTCATATTCTCGTTGTCCAGATTCCTTTCACGACTAACTAGAGTACCACTAATCCTCTGAGAAGAAAGAGTACCCACAACTATGCACCAATATTAGTACCTGATGAGAAAGAGGTAACTTAGGGGTAAAACAGTAATTTGACCAATATGAAGTTACGAACGTTAATGAATGTTGGTTATTTTGGTAATGAGTTTAATCATTTAATCTTGTATTGTTGGAGCTTCTGATTTGTATGTCCATTAGATCCTCGATAGCTCACAACAGGTAAAACAGTGATCAAAACTTATGAAAAAACTTTTTCAAGAGGATGTAGGTTAGTTGTATAAGATACAATTAATATAATGTATAATATAAAGTTAATTCTGAATGATATTCATAATTAAACTATATAACATGAGAGTTATATTTGAATAAGAATCAGATAATGATTAATATGAATTGAATTTATATTAAAACTATAGGTTAAAATTAATGGGACTAAGATTTACATTAAAAGTATAGGTTACGAGAGAGATATTTGAATATGATTTAAATAAAGTTATAATTAAATATATGATATTTAATTATTATTAATTAATGAGTTTAATAATTGATAAATCAATTTAATTTAATTTAATTAAATAACTCACTTTCTTGCATTTTGCAAGGAGGTTGGGAAATTGGTGGGTAGGTAGGTTGCTTCCTCCCCACTCCTCTCCATCTCTATAAAATGGGAGTGGTGAATTTTATTCAGAGTTTGAACAATCTCTATCAAATAGCTCTGTCACGAAAACCAAATTGACCCACTTTCAAAGGACAGTTCCCACAAACTGGTCCTTGCCAAGAGAATAGCAGGGAAGACTTTTTGGTGGTGTTGGTGCTATTGCTGAATAACAGTCTTCAAAGGTAGTCTATCTTTTCTTTTGTTGCTTATTTGTTTTTCTTGGTAGTTCTTCCTAATACATAATCGAAGCACAAGCATTCACGTGCTTCTGCTGCGGGATTCAATCCTTTCACACCCAACCCAAAATTGCTCCAAACCAAGCATGTTTAACTCTGAAATTCTTGTGGTTAAGGCACCGAAAAATAAGGTGCACATTGTTAGTATAGGTAGTGACTATAAATTTTTTTGAGACTTTCTTAACTATGCTTTTGTCATCTTAGGATCCCTCTCATTTGGACGTAGTACCAATTTATCCATGACCCCTCCTGTCTACTCGGGTGTCACATGCATACTAGCTTCCAGTTGGTTCGCTGTCGAACCACATTGTATTGGGAGAAGTTTTGCTCTTATGCCATTTGTAACGCCGCAAGCCAAGGATTCGGACCAGGATTCAGAATCAAGATTCAACACCTAATTGGCCCTGCATTCCTTCCATCCTCGATGACCTAGCTGTACTACCGTCTTTATCTGAGCTACTTAGAAGAGTGAAAACTATCTCTAAAGACCAACACAAGTCCTTCCATGCTTTGTCCTCACTCACATACTTTCTAAGAAAATTCTTTAGGAGGTCACCAAACCCAAGATTGCTCCAAGCCAACCACCAAAAAGGAAGGTACACCTTATTAATATAGGTAGGACTATCAATAATTTTAAGTCGTTCTTAACCATACTTCCATAATCTCAGTGTTGTAATTTTAACGATTGATTTTAATGATTTTTGGGCGATTTATCGTCTATACAGTAATTTTACAGCAGTGAAAATATCCGTTTAAATCCTAAAAATTACAGTAATAATATTCGTTATGACTTGATGCTCATCGATTCGCAGAATAACCAAAGAAAGTATATGTAAGTGTAAAAGAACAAGAAACACAAGGATTTATAGTGGTTCGGTCTCAACGACTTACTCCACTTGCAAAGATTATAAGATCTTTGCTAGTCAATATTATTAGAGATCAAACAGAAACATACAATAGGTATAACAATGTCGGATCTAAGAAATCAAAGGAAATATTGAAGAGAAAATACAAAGATGATATAGATCTTTACCAAAAACACCAAAAACAAACCCTCACGATGTCGAAGATCTCCAAAACACCTTAGGGTGGCCAAACCCACTCGACCCAATCGACGGGCAGCGACGTCGTCTCTCCGGCGTGGGTTCGATTCTTTCAACGGAGTCCTTTTTTATCACGGTGACATGAAAAACATGCACCCTTACCTTCTTCTTGACTTCACAGCAATGAGGGGAGAACAACCCAAATCTCTAACAACAAAATCTACTCTCTAGGGTTTCATAATGATGCTTATATAGGGGGAGGGGGTTAGGGTTCGTTCCATTTGGACTAGAAAGCTTTTGGGTCTCATTTCCAAAATGACTCAATCACTAAAGGAGATATGCAACAAATTTAATAAAGGAGTTAATGTTTGATTATTTCACAACAAATCACTTAATAATAAATTATTAGTAAGAAATTAACTCTAACAATTTCCACCTGGATTTCATACTAATTATAAAACAAGAATGGAACCTGTTGCCTCCAAACGTTTCAGATTTCTACCCCGGTTCAAGCTGCAACATTCTCACACCCAAGTTAAATTTATTACAAGGCAAAGCCTTGGTAAACATATCAACTGCATTCAAATCAGTAGATATTTTCTTAACAGAAACTAAACCATCACATATTATATCTCTAATAAAGTGATATCGAACATCTATGTATTTAGTTCTTTCATGGTGAGAATGGTTCTTAGATAAGTGTATGGCACTTTGACTATCATAATAAACATTTACAGACACTTTACTACAACATAATTCAGAAACAATTCCTTTAAGCCATAAAGATTCTTTTATGGCTTCGGTTAATGCAATGTATTCAGATTCTGTTGTAGATAAAGCAACAATAGATTGTAAATTTGACTTCCAATTGATAGTGCAATTGAATAGTTTAAAAACATAACCTGTCAAAGATCTACGCTTATCTATATCAGCAGCATAATTAGTATCGACATAACCTTTAATACTTATTTCATTACAAGTATCTATTTTTGTCTCACCATACATAAGGCATAAATTGATATGAGATGCAACATATGTAACAATCCATTTAACACCATTCCAGTGTTGTTTTCCAGGGTTAGCTAAAAATCTACTAACGACACTCAATGGGTGTGCTAAATTAGGCATAATACAAATCATGACTGATCAGACTTGATTAAAGGCTAAAAAGAGTAGTTTTACATGCTTAGTTGGGAGTTAATTATGATGAAAAATGTATGTTAATGCATATAATTCATGGAAAATGTGCATATTTCGTTATCAAGGACTTATGCAAGTAGTTAGAAGCAAATAGAGGCTAATTGATGAAAATTTGTTTATTTTGTGAGGAAAATTGGAAATTGATGACTGCAATGCGTCAGACACATCGCACGCAAAGTATTTCCAGATTATTAGAAGGCCGCGCCAGCCAATTGTTTTGGAACTTCCAGCTTCGCAATGCGCTAGCCACATTTGATGCATAGATTGTCAAAACAGGAATAACAACTTTTTGGTCCAAGATTCAGTTTGACTCTTAAAATCTCTACAAAGAGTGGTTGCCAACTTCCCTTGAATTTCTCAAATACTTGTTACATCCATGACCTATAAAAGGAGTCTCCAAGCATCATTTGTCCACATCTCATTTTGTAATGCTTTGCTTTTTCTTTCTAATTTTTGTCAACTTTTGCTTCTAAGTTTTAATTCCAGTTTTAATTTTTGTTCTTCCTTTATTGTTTTTAAAATTATTTTTTTTGTTTATTTCATTTCAATTCTATTTGTTCTAAGTTTGTACTTTCCTTTCCATTTCAATGAAAATGCATCACTTTGTTACCTTCTCTTGTTTTGTCATTTATTTTACTTCCATGTAGCTAAATTATTTCTTCAACCCTCCTACGAATGCATTAGTTCTTATCACTATAAATTACATCTATCAGTGAGCACGACGTATTACACTCTCTTTTGCTTATCTTGATTGATCTAATTTATCCAGTTGATTTTCTTGTTGGCCACTTGTTTAAATCACATCAGTTTGAATTTAATTATGAAAAGGTTAGAGTCAAACGGATCTCATCAAGGTAAAACGGGAAGTTACTTAGAAATAAGAACTAAAACAAGATCCTAGACATAGGCTCTCTTACCCGTTAAACGTAAGTTGACACTTGATTTATTTAGGATTCTAGAGTTGCATAGACATATGTAAACACTAGCCTAAGCTTCTAAACAAACCAAAAGCGGTATGGAATAGGAGTTGAACCAGTTTGCATAAATTGAGTTTAATTACGGGCACATTTGGTAGGTGTAATTCATCATTTTAGAACTAAATAGTAGTAGGGGGGTTGGCCTTCTAAATTATATTATTTTCGTGTGTCTTTCGTGTTCAACCAATCTCACCAATTT